CAATCTCTTCAACAGTCTATTTTTTTGATTCACTTAACCTTTGTATTATGGTTCTTAGTTGCAACTTCAAACATTTGTCAACATATAAAAAAAAACATGTTCGATAAGACCATTTAACAATATCATTTTCAAGTTACCTTTTTTTTGTGTTAGAGTTCTCTTTGCAGCTATCATTCTCTTCTTTAGAGGACTTTACCATCTCTAAATACTTTTCTTTCTCACTATCTTTTATATTCTTCCATTGGAGGCCAAGCTCTTTCATCGCCTTATGATTAAGTATGATATAGAATCATTTACACGAACAAATTACACAATATCATTTATACCCCCATGGTCCAATTTTTTATTTCCTTCCCTTTGATTATCTTCAATCAATCCTTACTAAAGTGGAAAACAAGCATCAATAAGATCACTAGAATAAAAAATAAGATCAAGATAAATAGTTTAGCATTTAGATTAAAAAAAATACTCCACGAGTAAAAAGCCATGAGGTTGTTGGGTGAGGTAACTTAATAGCTTCAGCTTCATGTTCCAAGTCATTTGACCTCTTCTTCAACCTGAACATAAAATACACCATTAACTACAAAAATTGCTTCACCTACATTAACTAAAAAAAATGGCTTCACACTATAAAATACACCATTAACTACAAAAATATTCACTTACATTATATCTGAACAAGCCTTGGATCACCAATAGAAAGGAAGCAATGGAGGGTTATCAACCACCTTTAATAGACGAACTCATTAGGAAAAAAAACTCAGAAACCAAACCTAGTGATATGTATGGGTAAATGGAGGGAGGGAGGGAGGGAGGGAAGAGAAGTGAACAAGTGAGTGAAAATGTTCTGGGCAAAAAAGGCAGCAAAAGGGGTGGAGAGATAAAGTTATTATGGACCACATATGTCCAGCTAGATATTAGTGTAATTTGAAAATAAATAATTAAAAAAATAATTGTGCAAAAAAAATGAAATAGGTGGATATTAAGTTTAATTTGAATATAAAAAAATTATGTTAAAAACTTAAGCATAAACGATCATATGAAATTTAAGGCTTGTTAATGTAACTAAATCGATCATCTCTAATGTAGAGCGTAATGTAACTAAAATAACAATTTATGTTAGATTGTATCAAGATCAATCTGCTTGAAGCGTGATCAATCACGATCATGATTTGGGTAAGTATTACACCAGCTAGTATTTTGTTAGAGTTAGGGTTTGAATTCTTTGAATATGGAAGAGTAATTGAATTAACTCGGGTGATTGACCATAAATGAAGAGTATAAAGGTTTTTCGAGTTAGGGTTTGGTTCCAACCGATTGATCGTATGTGCGAGGTCTTGGGTTGGTTTTGTCTAAAATAGGATCCACCATGAATACTTATGACTGGTCCTAATTTGTTAAGGGTTAATAGTNTAGGGTTTGAATTCTTTGAATATGGAAGAGTAATTGAATTAACTCGGGTGATTGACCATAAATGAAGAGTATAAGGGTTTTTCGAGTTAGGGTTTGGTTCCAACCGATTGATCGTATGTGCGAGGTCTTGGGTTGGTTTTGTCTAAAATAGGATCCACCATGAATACTTATGACTGGTCCTAATTTGTTAAGGGTTAATAGTTTTAATTTTGTATTTGTGGGACAAAACTCACAAAATTGATTAGAGGATAAAAGGGTTACAAACCCANGGGTTGGTTTTGTCTAAAATAGGATCCACCATGAATACTTATGACTGGTCCTAATTTGTTAAGGGTTAATAGTTTTAATTTTGTATTTGTGGGACAAAACTCACAAAATTGATTAGAGGATAAAAGGGTTACAAACCCACTTGTTAAATCAGGATCAGTCGCGACTACTTATGGTTGGTCCTAATTTTTTAGGACAAAATTTGATAGTTAGAGGATTAAAAGTGTTATTAAACTAGAATTAGTCACCACTACCTATGGTCGGTCTTAATTTTTTAGGATGAAAGCCACAAAATTAATACATAGAGGATAAAAATGTTATTAATCCATTTGTTATAGGATAGGTCGAGAATACTTATGGTCGGTCCTAATTTTTTGGGTTTTTTTGGACGAAACTCAAAAAAATTGATAGTTAAAGGATAAAAGTATTATTAGCTATTTGTTAAATTAGGATGGGTAGTGACCACTTCTAGTCAATCCTAATTTGTTCTGTTACAATTTTGGATTTTGGGTTTCAATAAGATGTTAAGACGATTAGTATTAAAATTTTTGGGGATAAAATGACAAAATTGAATATTTTTTGGATGAAACTCACCAAATTGATATTTAGAAGATAAAAGTATTATTAACCTATTATCAAATTAGGATCGGTTGCGACTACTTATGGTCGGTTCTAATTTACTCTGCTACAACTTTTTTGGTTAGTTGCATCCTTTTGGGGTTACAACCTTTTTGAGTTGTGTTACAACTATTTTGGTAAGTTTATAATTTTCAACTTTTAGGGTGGGGTTATAACTATTTTGAGTGAGGGTTAAAATGTTTATGGGTATGTTCCAACTTTTAGGGTGGGGTTACACTTTTTAGTGAGGGGTTCCAACTTTTTGAGTTGGATTACAATTTTTGTAGTGGGGTTATCACTTTTCTGGAGTGGGATTAAAACTTTTCTGAATTGGGTTACAGCTTTTTGGGATTGAGTTCTAACATTTTTGGATAGATTTTTTACTTTTTTGGGTGGGGTTATTGGGGGTTACAACTATTTTGAGTGAGGATTATAATGTTTCTAGGTATGTTCCAACTTTTCAGGTGGGGTTACAATTGTTTTTGGTTAAATTACAACTTTTGTGATAGGGTTACAACTTTATTGGGGTGGAGATATTANGGTGGGGTTACAATTGTTTTTGGTTAAATTACAACTTTTGTGATAGGGTTACAACTTTATTGGGGTGGAGATATTATTTTTTTTGGGAAGGGTTACAACCTTTGAGATAGCGTTATAAGCTTCTAGATTGGGTTATAATTTTTTTGAATGGGATTACAACTTTTCAAGATTGAGTTACAACATTTTGGGATAAAGTTACAATTTTTGCGGTAGGTTACAACTTCGAGGGTAAATTTATCACATTTTGGGATTACGTTATTACTTTTTCTGTATGAAATTATTTGATTCTGTAGTCAATCTCAACCGTTCTTTCTGTACTACTTTAGCAGATAACTGGTATGTATCTCACACTGTGAAGTGATCAACGGCTATAAAACCACAGATATTAAATTAATGGTGTCAATTATTTTGGCGGTGTAGTACCGTAGAAGAACTCCTGTTATATACAGCTTGGAGACCTTGTGTAATGGTCGAGGATTAATTTGTAAACCGGTAGGCACGGATTCAGATTTGTTACAATATTTTTTTTCTTCTTAGCATATTCATTGTTAATGATTGACGGACCTACTTATATACATTAGGTTCTATTTGAATTCACTATAGGTGATCTACAAAGAAAAGAAATAAAGAAATAATCCAAATGTTAGCTTCATTGGGACTAGGCCTAATAAAATTCAATATGATCCAATAATTCCCTACGAACTGTCACGAAATTGGCGGGTTAATAGGTTTGGGTAGTAAATTGTTGGATCTGCCTAAACCACATAATAAACGAGTCGTGTTTGGGTACATTACCTTAACTCATTTATTACCCAATTACTTGTTTAATAAATTGATGTGATTAATCGTTTATTATAAAATTACTCATTTATTATCCGATTATTCGTTTAATAGATATCATAATTGATTATAAAATTAGGATTTTAATTATAAAAAAAAATGTGTCATAGAATTAAGGGGTAAGACAGGTCAAAACAGGTAACACGCTTAATAAAGTAAATCATGTTCGATTTTGTAATTTATACCCATTAAATAAAATAATCAAATACAAGGTCAAAAATTTTTAATAACCTTCGTGAAATTCGATACGAAATCGAGGGAATCTTAATAGGGCTCCAAGGTTAAACTGATATTCATGAATGGCTGGCCACGTGTAATAAACACTCTTAATAGGGCTCGAATCCCATGGTAACCTCGCTTTGGGTGTTGGGCTTGAGCCCCATGAAACTTCAGAAAGTCACATGACACGATTACTGTAAACTTAAATGACATTAATAAAAAATTTAAATTGAAAAAATTTGACAAAAATAAAATAAAATATGAGAACTCTGCGCACGGCTCTCTAACCAAAATTAGGGGTTAATTAGGATTTGATATATATAATATTATTGTTGCACAAGAGAGAACTATTTCATTAACTGACTGATAAATCACAATAGAACAATGATTCCATAGCACCCACATAAATTCAGTTTTGTATAGGTTGTACACAAAAATAAAATTCCTAAATTTGAAACTGTGAAAATCCAGATCCAAATAACAATTCATATTTTGGATAGTGGAGATAATCGGAAGGTTATTCCTGTAAAACATAATTACTTAATCCCAAATTGAAACAATGAATCCAAAGAAGTCACCAATATAACATGTAAGCCAAACATGAATCCGGAATATTAGCTTACATGGGTTATACTGGAAAATCATAATTACTTTCTATATGTATTAGTGGTTATATTCAACTTCGTTTCTAAATATGCAGTCCGAATCCTTTTAGTAATAGAATTACTACAAGTTACAACTCTATACCAGGCCAAGCCATCTTTCAAATATTCAATAGAGATCTGTTCTTGTTCAAAAATAAAAATAGAGATTTGTTCACGGAAGTTTTCTGAATCACTGAACCCCCGTTTGAAGGTAAGTTCCCAGGAGCTTCTTTCTTTTCCTTCCTGTCTTCCGTCTAAATGTTTTTACCAGTAAATTCTCGCTCGATTCTGTCCTCCAAATCCTACAAACCCCACGACCAACCTGATTACTACACCTCTCTCTCTCTCTCTCTCATATTCATGTTTTGATGATTGTTTGTTATGTATTAAACTTACTCTCTTCTTTGGCTTCTTTTTTTTGTGGAATGGACAGAAAACAGAAAAACTAGTTTGATTGACATGGAGCATTCGTCTGAACTACCCGAAGACAATATCGTGGATGTATTAAATCGTTTGCCTTCAAGACCACTGGCAAGGTTCAAGTGCGTGTCAAGGCGTTGGCATGAATATATCTCTGAAACTATCCGCTCTCAGAAATGGAGAAAGTTCCCCACTATGATGGGCTTTTTCTTCCAAAATGACGAATTGGGTTCTCTAGGGCATATTCGGTTCCTCTTTACTACCAAAAAACCAGAAAATTTTGATGACTCTCTGGACGAGTCCTTTCAATATATGGATTGGGACGTAGCCATTGTTGCTTCTTCCAATGGATTTCTTCTCGGCAGTCTGAATCAAAAGCACCCCATGCGATATTGTGTTTACAATCCAGCAACAACTCAGTGTGTAGCCTTGCCAAAAACTCGCAGATTGTATAATTCATGGGCACTAGGGTTCGTTTGTGAGCCGGATGAAGATGACACATGCACGGATGCTATAAGCTTCACGGTGGTGCGTCTAGGGCTCCCAAACAGTAGAGTTCTATTGTTGAACAAGGTACCAATAAGCAAAGGTATTTTATCACTACAATATATATTACGGTTATACCATGTTAACATTGTTATTTGTGTAACTCTTCTATAGAAAAAGGAAAAAAATAAATAAAGTGGACCTATTGTCCTACATGAAAGTGATATATACTAAATTGATGGGTGATTACTTAATACTGTGGGACTAACTTTTATTTATTTATTGGTGAATAGTTACATCAAATAGCATTGTTGACATTGTGTTATGGTTGTATCCTATGAAATACGGATATTTTGTTGAGGTTGACGTACCCGTATCAGATACCGTATTAGATATCATATTTGTTGTCAGATATTTGAGGATACGTATCGGATACACCTTCTACGTATTCAATAATAATTAAATATTATGATACTTTACGGATATTTTTGTAGTAGATAAACATATAGAATTTTTTAGTTAAACTTTTAATATCTCTTTTCAAATTAAAATACTATACAATAAATTAACAAAAATCTCATTATTTCAAAGGCACATAAGTGTTTTTTAAGTATTATCTACAATTACATATCAAAAGACCATATAATAAATCTATTATATTATAATCTTATCATAAATAACTTCTAAATACTACTAGATAAATATTAGTTTTGATTCCTTTAATTAGTCATTTCACTTTGTGAATATATAATAGCGACACGATATATATTTTCTTAAAACTAAAAAGAATTACTAATTTTTCTTATTATATGTTAAAGAACAACCAAAATATATAAATGTTAAGTTGGTTGAAAATAATAAAAATATTAAATATATTTTATTATAGTTGTATCTTGGCCATATTGGTATCCTATTTTTTTAGACTTTATCGTATCATCGTATCCATATCATATTTTACTTATATCCGTATCCTTGCTTTATAGGTTGAATCCAATATTTTCTGAATAAGACGAGTAGAATTTCATGAATCCAATCACCGAAGACATGAAAGGAGCCATCCGGGGCAAAGGGCGTATATATATCTACACACACTCATTAAGGCACATTAACACTTGTTCATTAGTGAGCGAAGTATAATACAGTGAACATTAGATTGTGGATATAGGCACAATTTGACAAACCACATATACTTTTATGTCGTGTTTTTCATCCCCTTTACTATTTTTCATTGCTTACGTATTCTAAATTTTTTTCAGTTAACTATTGAGATCTTCTCCTCTGCAACCCGTTCATGGAAGACAATTTACATAAACCTGAATGGGCAGCATCTGCCTCTTATGTTATACCGAGTGGACAAGCGTACGCCTGCCGTGGTAATTGGTAAAGTCTTCTACTGGTTAGATTACTTGGGACGAATTATTGCTTGCGATTTGGCGCAGAGAAAATTTATGTTGATGAATTTTCCCCAAGGGAATGTTTCTGATGGGAGGTCAAGGCTTCTAGTTGTGTTAAATGGGCAACTGTGCTATGCATCCATAAATTTTTCATATCTTGAGCTATGGGTAATCAATCACTGTTTTCTCAGCAGAAGTGTTGAGTGGGTTTTGAAGGATAGAGTTAGTATTGAGACTCTAAGTATGGAGACTTTTGGATTTGTAGATCCTCCAAAATATGCTATGCTAGTAGGGTTTCATTCTACTGATACAAACGTTATTTATTTTAGTATTTGGGGTCATATAATTTCTTATAGGTTTGACACCGGAACAGTGGAACTGGTGTTTGATTTTGGTGAGTCCGGTAAGAAAATCGAAGACTACAAGTTCTATCAATACGAGTGGCATAAGTGGCCTCGAGTTCTTCCATTTCTTAGAGGAAAGCAATCGATGTGATATGAATGAGAGCTTGATTCGGCAAAATTTTTGAACATTATAGTCTAGGATTCTTCGGGATTTCTGTAATTGCATTCCTATTTTTCTGTTTCTTTCACTTGTATGTAATTGGCAACAAGGGAAAAGTGTTAGAATTTTTTTTATATTAGACTTTCATTAATTGATTGTTAATTTTTTAGTTTGTAAAAAATGAGTTGAATTTATGATTTAATGAGATGAATCCAATATTACTAAGTGATTTATTTTGATGGGCTTACTTACGTCTTTTTAATTGATATGATTGAAATAGTTAAGTGTAGGTCTTAATCTAATTGTAGTCCGTAATGGAAAACCTCGTTAGATTTCATTATAAATAGCAGGCTAGATCTCATCTCTACTTTATAATCCTAATTTGACTTGTTCTATTGATAGTCGTCTATTGTTTTAAAGAATAAAATGAAAACCTTGCTCTTCCGTGAAAGAAATTTGAAGATCGAGTATCATGATTCATACAAGTATGTTCTAAACCTTGTAATTTATGTGTTATAATTTTTTTATACGAGTATCAGAGTTTATCGTACATAAATTTAGAAATAAATTTATTATTATTTTTTATTATTTGTATAACTTGAAATCTCAATATTTTAGTGCCGGCGGCGGCGTCCAATTTCTCACACAATCGCCGTCAATTGTTTGAAAACAAAGTGGCTTGAATTATTTTATACTTTGGTGGAGAATTTTCAAGCCACCGTGGCTTGAATTATTTTATGCTTTGGTTGAGAATTTCGAGCCGCCAGTTTTGTCAAAGGTTGATTGCCATCAATCTTGGGCAATTATGCTTTGACGGCTATAATTGATATATATATATATATATATATATATATTAGATGATTTTAATTAAATTAGATTTTTTGATATTGACTTTTGATCAATTTATAATTTAGTTAAAGAATTTAATTTGGATTAAATTTAAATATCAAATAAATTTTATATTCACAACTCCTATAACATTTTTTTTTAATGTTATAATGGTGGAATTGCTATTTTATTGATTGTGTCTTTTCTATTAAATAATTATTAATTATTCATGGATTATGTTAATGAATAGACACATGTTTTGCCTATATAAATTATTTTCTTGTGTTGATGTAACTTTACTTGAATTGCTATAATTTATATAGGGTGTTTGTACAATTCTAATTTTAGTTTTTAGTGATTGAAATGATGAAATTTCTTTTTATAATATACATAGTATTTATTAAATGTTGGTAGATGTAAATTTAAATTACTTAATTTTAATAGTAAAAATAGAATTGAGACCTGAATGTAAGGAGTGATGATGGGTTATCTAAAGAGATACATATTGATTAGTACCTCATATTGATTGATCACATGATATTTAATTATGGGCAATTTGTTATAATAACCCGATTTGAAAAATTCTATGAGTTAATATGGATGGTTGCTACCAAAGTGGTTCATTCATTGAAATTTGTAGTATTTTCTCATGTTTTTGTTACGCGATGGTCTTTAAATTATAATATACAATTATTTGCTCAAATGAGGTTATTATGTATTATAATTTAAAGATATCATGAAACATTGTAGTAAATGCGTAATAGTCTAGAAGGTTTATCTGTCCAAAAGGAATAAATTTTTCAAAACCTGAGCATTCTCAGTAGTTAGTTTCATGAAAAAAATGACCTACATCATATTACATTCTCTGCCCAAAATAGAGTTTTTAGTGATTTATTTGAACTCCGTTAATAAAATATGACTTATTATGTTCAAAGTATATTTTATTTATTTATTGTCAAATTTTACTAACTGTTTATATTTTCATTGGTTCATATAGTCTCTTTTGTTGTGAATAATAATAATGTCAATATTGAATTCTTGATTGATTCTAATTATAAGATATGGAAGCAAGATATTGATTTTGCACTCGGAATTGTTGATATAGACTTTGTCTTGAAAGAAAATAAACATACTAAACCTACTAGTGAGAGCTCTTCTGAAGAAAAAAAAATTTATACAAAGTGGAAAAAATCTAATCAGCAGAGTATGATTACTACGAAAAGGTTTATCTCTGAACACCTTATGAGTAACTTGCTTGAAACCAAGAATGTCAAGGAGTTCTTTACAGCTCTAAGAGAGAGATACAAGGTATCCAATAAGATTAAAGTTGGGGGCCTAATAAATAAATTAACGAGTATGAAATATGAGTGGTGTTAGGGAATATATCTTTAGAATGGTCTATGTTCAAACCAAACTTAAAACCTTCAAAATTGTTATTTCTGATGATTTCATTGTTAATCACACTCTTAACTCTTTACCCCCGAGTTTAGCCAAATCAAAATTGTCTACAATACCCAAAATGAATTCTGGACAATAAATGATATCTCCAAGTGTGATTCTGAGGAAGAAAAACTTAAAAAAAGGAAATAGTGAAACTACCTTGTTTATTTCTCAGTCTAAAATATAATTTCAAATGTGGGTATTTAGAAAATATTAAAAAAACCTAATCATAATGCTCCAAAGAATGATTAAAATTTCAAAAGGCATGGTACTGGTCAGAATATGAGAGGTCCTAAGGCTGTCATTCGAAAAGATGTCAAATATTACTTTTACAAGAAACGAGGTTATAAGAAAAGTGAGTGCATTCGATTTAAGTTTTGGTTAGAAAAGAATAATAAAGAAGAAAGTAACTTACTAGCCTTTATTTGCTTTAATTTCAATTTAGTTAATATCCCATTAAATTCTAGGTAGATTGATAGTGGAGCTTCTGTTCATGTTGTCATGACTTTGCAAGAATTCACAAGCAAACAGAGGCCAAGTGAACAGGAAACCAAGCTTAAAATAGGAGATAATAATGAAATCCATATTAAGTTCATAGGAACTGTTAGGTTGAATTTAGACACTAGTTTCAACTTGTTTTAGAAAATATCTTTTATCTACCATCATTTAGGCGGAATTTGATCTCAGTTTTCTTGCTTGATAAAATTAGATATTGTTTTAATTTTAGTAATAGTAAAACTCGATTGTCTTTAAATTCTAAAATTGTTAGTCACTGTATTTTATCAGATTGTCTATATAATATATGTTTGGCTACCAATAATTAATATGGTCTTTTCAGATATTGCGAATATTATATCTAAGAGACCTTTCATTAAAGAAAAATCTTCATAGTTGTGGCACAAATGTTTGGGTCACATTTGTAAAAAAAGAGTGGAAATATTAATAAAGAATCATATCCTTCCTCCACTTGATTTTGGAGACCTTGAAACTTGTGTTGAATGCATTAGGGGTAAATTAATCAAGATTAAAAAGAAAAGTGTAACTCGCAGTCCAGATCTTTTAAAAATTATTCACACTAACATCAATGAATCTTACTCACATACTTTGTGTGGTAATAAATATTTTATTATGATTTATCTTGTTACGGATATATTTATTTAATTAATAAAAAAAATTGATGCTATTGAAAAGTTTAAAATTTTCAAAACTAAGGTAGAGAAATAATTAGGAAAAGTCATCAAAATTGTTAGGTCTAACTGTCGTGGTGAGTATTATGTTAAAAATGACGTATTTGGACAGCATTTGAAACCGTTTGCCAAGTACTTACAAGATTGTGGGATTGTTGCCCAATATACCATAACTGGTAGTCCCGAGTATAATGGTGTGGCTGAAAGGCATAATCGCATCCTTTAAGACATGATAAAAAGCATGATAAGTAGGTGTAAATTATCTAATTATCTTTGGAGAGGAGCCATTAAAGCGGCTTCATACATTTTTAATAGAGTTCCTAACAAATATGTTCCAAAAACACTTTTTGAATTATGGACTAATATAAAATTAAGTCTTAACCATTTTCAAGTCTGGGGTTGTCCTACTAAGGTCAAACTCTACAAACTTTTTTGAGAAAAAGACTGATCCTAGAACTATTCGTTATTTCTTCATAGGTTATCCAAAATATTCGAAAAGATACCGATTCTATTGTCCTACATGTGGAACTAAACTTCTTGAGTCCTTACTAGCAAAATTTCTGAAGCTTGATGTTTGCTGATCTTGGTTGCTCGCAACCTATTAGTGAGCATGAGTAAGATAAATTGTTTCTATTCCTTTATCTGTTGTGTAAGAGAATATTATATCTGCTTCTGTTGTTAATTTTTCTACTCCAGTTGTTGATCCATCCATTCTTACAATTGATCATTTTGTTCCTATTGAGCTTCTTCAACCTTTAGAGACTACTACTGAAATTTTCTTGAGAATGTCTACAATACCAAGGTGACCTGTTATTTCTAATAAATATTATGTATACCTTGAAGAAAGTGATTATGTAATGAATATTATGTATTGTTGATCCTGTAACATATAATGATACTATTACTTGTCCTTAGTCTAATATGCGGGTAGGTGCCATGAAAGATGAGATGCATTATATGGCACACAATAAAGTGTGAGAGTTTATAGAACTTCCTAAAGGATGTAAATTCATTGGCTACAAATTGGTGTTTAAAACTAATATGGACTCCAAATGTAAGATCGAAAGATTTAAGGCTAGATTGGTAGCAAAATGGTATAACAAGAGGGAAGGTACAGATTTTAATGAATCTTTCTCTCCCATCTATACGAAAGATCTTTCATGAACATTATGGCATTGGTAGCTCATTTTGATCTAGAACTTCACTAGATAGATGTGAAGACAACTTTCAAAAATGGTGATCTTAGTGAAGTAGTTTATATGATGCAGTCTGAGGGTTTTAAGGAAAATGAGAAAAAATAATTAGTGTGCAGATTGAAGAAGTCTATCTATAGTCTCAAACAGGCTTCTCGTCAGTGATACTTAAAATTTGATGAGATAATAAGTTCTCTTAGTTTTGTTGAGAACAAGATTGGTCAATGCATATATCTTAAGGTTAGTGGGAGCAAATTTATTTTTCTTGTTCTTTATGTTGATGATATTTTGTTTGCAAGTAATGATTTGGTTTTACTTCATGAGATTAAACAATTGTTGTGCA